TGTGCTTCTCTCCTCCCAGAAAAAGCTTCACTCCCTAAAGCTTCCTTTTCTCGCTATGTCAAGTTCATTCTCACTAAGCTCCCATTTGGATACAATTTTTATTACAAGTCCAGTCTCTCTAATGATATAGTCAAAGGTGTGGAGGAGGGAAGGAATATGAGACTCCCTCCGAGCTCTTCGTGTGGTTTCTATCCCCTGGTTACAGATACAAAGGTCTGACTTCTCAATGTGCTCCTAAAGCTTAATTGATTTCATGATCAAAATCTTTTTTCTAATATAGCTAGGCCCAGAAAAGTGTGTGTGTGTATAGGTATTGGTGTCAGTTATCAGGTCTAAGAAGATCATCTTTTTAGTTACATTAATTAAGGGTAGAAGATGAGATACACTTCTTATACCAGACCTGTTCACTTGTGTACTGTTCACTTGTGGACTTGTATAGGGCAAATTTCCTGCTCCTCCCTGTCTCTTAAATACACCTTACTCTTTTGCCAAAGTATCACTTATCCCTCCCACAAAATAATTGATTCACTTACATGGAGCCCTAGAATTTAATCCATAGAGTATCAATTTAGCTTTTCTTCTTTCCCTTCTCTTAATTCTTTAAATTCCTTCCAATCTTTAGATACTTAAGTTTTGTTTTGTTTTTTATCCCTTAATGACCTTTCTTTGTTTTTTCTTTTACCCCTGCATTCAATCTTATTTTTTAAATGTTCCCCTATAAACATGAAAGAATTGATCTCATTACTTAATCATTTCTTCAAGATTTTACTTAACTTCCCTGAAATTTTATTATTTGGCGCATCTGCAAGTTAAATATTGTTCTGCATATTGTCTGAACTTAAAGTATTAATAATGTAGATTAAACTCAGAAGTGCATATGCATACATTTCCCCCCTCCCTTCAGACCTCTGTTTGCCAGTACCCATCTGTATTGCTCTGTAAATATTGCCTGAGATCAACAGGAATACAGTAGAAAGTTCAAGTAATGAAGTCATCACCAGACTAGAGGTCTGGTGACTATAAGCTAATAATAATAGCCATTCATATAATGATTCAAGGTTTACAATGTGCTTTACATTCATTAGTTAATTTGAACCTCACAATATCCCATGTTGTAGCTGTAGCTAAATTTGGAGGAATTCATCAAATGCCTCTTTTTGAAGGACAATCTTTTTTTCATTTATTATTAGGCTCAGTTTTGTAGGATATATTATTTTGGGTTACAACTTGTCCCTTTTTGCTATTCAAAATGTCCTATTTCATCCTTTGCTCTGATTTCTCATGACTGTGATATAATCCTGAGTTATTTGAATAGATATTCCTTCATGCTGGAAGATCTTTCTCCTGACAACTGGCAGCATTTGTTGTTTGTTATTAAATTTGTGATATTGGCCTGCTTCATACCTTGTATTTTCAAGAATGAATATTTTTTCTGGTGTCGATCTTTGCTTTCAGTTAATCTCTGTTCTGTTGTTTTTATTCAGAACTCAACAATTTCCTAATTATTTGCTAATTATTTCCTGGTGTGTATTATAGGATTTTTGTTTTTTTAATGTATTTCTGGGAAGCCTATTAATCTTAAGTTATATATACACATCTTGTCTTGTAGGTTGCTTTGTTTATGTATATAATTTTGTGTTTTTTTTAACATTGTTGTCTTTTGATTTTTTCTTTCAGATTCTTTCTCACATCTGCATATTTTTTAAATGTCTATTTTACTTACTAAGCTTCTACTTTTTGAGGGAATGTCTGTCATATACTCAAAGTTTTACTGTTTGTTTCATTTTTGCTTCAACAACTTATTTCCTACTTCATACTAGTCTTAATATCTTTGTTCAATAATTTATTTTACTTTAGAAACATCATGATGTGTCTTTCTGTTGTTACATGTAGCCTCCTTAGGAGGCTACAGATTTCTTTTTTTTTTTTTTTTGTTCTTGGAATTATGTTTCATTTCCTTTCGTTGTATATTTGTCCATAGTTGTTTGGACTCTCTTTTTTTTTTAACTCATCCTTCAGTCTTTCTGAACTTCTCTGTTGAATTATCTGCATGTAATAGGTCTTGTACTAGGTTTTTATTTTAACTTTCTCTTTTGACATTTCAGTCTTTAAATATTGTTCTTATAATACTGGTAACTTGTCCCTTGATTCCATTACTATCTTTGAACTTCCCTTTTAACTGCTAAATAGACACTCATGGATGGTAGCCATCTACTACCATATATCAAGGGTTGTCTGGGTCTGACCTAGTTCCTGAGTGAGTAAATGCTGAGAGAAGAGGAGAGATCCAAAGTACGTTTTCAAAACCATTTCCTTTGGGAATAAGCTCTTTCTATTCAATCTTAAGGCTATATGTGCTGATCCATACTGCTTGCATCTTTTATTCATTCCCTTCTACTTGTTATTCATGGTGTGTGTGTGTGTGTGTGTGTGTGTGTGTGTGTGTGTGTATGTGTGTGTGTACAGAATCTGCATTTTACTTTTAATAGGGTTTGCAGTCGGTGAATTCAGGCTGAGTCACCATCATGGGAGATGGAGAAGATCAGGCAAGATTCTTCAGGTCCAGAACTCAATCCATTCTATCATCAAGCTTCTAGCTGACACCCAGAGTTCAGTCTGCTTACCCTTGATTAGGTGTAAAATGTTCCATATTGAATCTATTATGAGTCACAATTAGAATCTGTAAACAGTACAGAGTGACACAGGACACCCATTTTCTTTTCTCTAAGACTTTTCAACATGTTTACATGGTCCAGAGAAGCAAACAATGGGTGCTTATCTGATGGAGCTCTATTTCTTTGTTTAGAAAAGACTGGTAGAGAGGACTATCAATTTAATCTGAGTTGACCCAAGTAAAGCATTCATTAAACATCTACTATGTGTATGACACTTTGCTAGATTCTGGTGATAGGAAGGTAAAAGTAGAGTCATCTGAAGGTAATTGTATAACAATAAGCTTCCACTAAAGCCATCACTAAATACCTTATTGATTACTATTGTTGTTGTTCAGCTATTCAGTCATGTCTGATTCTACATGACACCATGGACATTGTCCATGGGGTTTTCTTGGCAAAAATGCTGGGATGGCTTGTTATTTCTTTCTCTAGTGTGCCGCATTTTTAAGATTTGGAACTGAAACAAATAGGTGTTAAGTGACTTGCCTATCGTCAGACAGCTAGTAAGTGTCTGAGGCTAGATTTTAACTCAGGCTGTCCTGACTCCAGGTCTGTTGCTCTATCCATTATACCATCTAGCTGTCATTATTGATTACTAGCACTATGGATTTCAAATTCCATGCATATGGAGCACAAGTACCAGCAGGCTTTGCCAAGTTGGAAAGGTTTCATGTGAACTGAATATGTATCATTTGAGGACCACCTAGCTAATTTCAAGAAAAGCTCAACACTAAAAAATTGGGCATCCACTGTCAAATTTGGTTATCCAAAACATCTCTGTTTACTAATCCTTAGTACCTAAATAATGGAAGCATTGCATTTTTTGTCCTGTAGAAACTATAATGATTTGGCTATTCTTCCCAATGATATCTATTCATGCTTGTCCATCCTAGGATATTCTTGTCCATAAGGTCCCAACAAATTTACAGTAAGGAATCCACTCAAATACTAAAAACCATATCGAAGAAATCAGGAAGTTGCAAGCAAGGAAGTTACAAGTCTATATTCTTTGACAAATCACAGCATTGAGTATCAGGAATGAACATCTCTCTAGTTTTAAAGTTATCATTTTAGAGCCATTAAATCTTAAAAGTCAAAGAAAAGTAAAAAATCCACTCTGGAATGGGGGTTCTTAACCTGAGGTTCATGAACATGTTTCTTTTTAAAAATATTTTGTTAAATGTATTTCAATAGAAATGGTTTCCTTTGTAATCTGTATGTTTTATTTTCTGCATCTAAAAGCATTTTTCTGAGAAGGGGGCCCAAGGTTTCACCAAACTGCCAAAGGGATCCATTATACACAAAAAATTAGAAGCTTCTACTTTACAATGTTATGCTTAAAATCGCATTCTAACCTCATTACTCTCTTAGAGAATAATATCCTCCTTTAGGACTGCTACTGTATTTCCATTATGAGAAAGCTGAAAACAGACTAAGAGTAGTCTCATGACTACAAATAGTGCTTTAAAAGTAAACAAAATGAATATTTTCTATTTTTGTCATAATACAAAAATATGGTGGTACACTGGCCTGATTTTTTTTGTGTCTGTTGGCCTCTATTAGATTTTCAGAACCTTATTATACACAAATGATTACTCACCCCAAGAATAAGGAATTGTTCCCTATTCAAAATAAAACTTCCCTGGATTGGTAGCATGTTGAGTTCTTCCCAACCTCAGCCCTGTATCACTTTATAAAGTTTATAAAATTCTAATTGTGACCCCTAATAGTTTCGCTACAGAACCTGTTACATGCAATCAAGGGTAAGCAGACTGAGCTCTGGGTGTCAGCTAGCTGCTTGATGATAGAATGCATTGAGTTCTGAACCGGAAGAATCTTGCCTGGTTTTCTCCATCTCCCATGATATGATTTAGTCTGGATGTATGTCAGTAATTCAGTTTTTCAAATTTTTCTCTTCTGCTAGTCAGATAAGTCTGTATTTATATAGGGTAGAAAGACCATTAAGGCATAGGGAGACAGTGGGTGGAAGATACAAAAATGGAAGGTGAAAGGATATCACATACAAACTTTACCTACTTTAAGTTTGCCTAAGACAAGCATTGACTTTTGCTACCCAGAATACATAATTCTTCAAAACTCTCTAGGCCTCAATCGCCACACATTTTACTGATGAGGAAAGAGAGGGCAAAGGGGTAAAATCCAAGGTCAAACATTGATTTAGGGGCTAAGCTTTAGAGATTAGTACTGTTTCTACTTCCCTATGTCACAAAGAAGGTACATGACATGTACATGACAGGTACATAGTCATGCCAAGCCAATTACTTAATATAAAAAAAGAGGGGACATTTTTCCAGGGGCTATAGACTATAAAAATTTCCCTTGATCTTTCAGCCTGAGCAAAGCCATCTTCACCTCCTTGTTTCTTAGTGTATATACCAAGGGATTCAACATGGGTGTGATCATTGTTTGGAAAATGGCCACAATCCTATCCACAGCATGTATGGAGCCAGGTCTTAGATAAACAATGAGACCAGGCACAAAGAAGCAGAGGACCACAATACAGTGGGAAGCACAGGTCTGGAAGGCTTTTTCTCTACCCTCTGTTGTGCGGATCTTCAAAATAGCTCGAACAATGGACACATAGGAAAGGAAAATCAGGAAGCAACATCCCGATGCTACCACTCCAATGTTAACAAAGATCACCATCTCATTGACTGAGGTGTCTGCACAGGCCAACTTGAGAATGGGGGGTGCATCACAAAGGTAATGCTGAATCTGGTTAGGGCCACAGTAGGGCAGGCGGAAGGTCAGGGCAGTGTGGGCTGCTGAGTGGATAGCACCACTAAGCCATGTGCCTCCAGTTAGAAGGGCACAGATTTTCCCACTCATAAAGGTAGAATAATGCAAGGGATAAGTGATGGCCAGGTAGCGGTCATAGGACATGACTGTGTAGAGGAAACACTCAGTGCTTGCCAGACTATAGAAGAAAAAGAGTTGAGCCACACAACTGTGAAATGAGATGGCCCCACCATCTGGGGAGAGGAGACCCATGAGTATCTTGGGCACAGTGACAGTGGAGAACCACATGTCAATAAAGGAGAGGTTGGCCAGGAAATAGTACATGGGAGTGTGGAGGTGGGAGGCCACCTTGATCACCAGCAGGATGAGGAGGTTCCCCATCAAAGTGAGTGCATATATCACTGAAAAGATCCCAAATAGGGTTGTTGTCAGTTCGGGTGCATGAGGAATCCCTCTAAGAATGAATGTAGTCACAAAGCTCTTATTCTTTCTCTCCATTTAAATAATTGAGTCTTTTCCTAAAGAAGGAAAAATCATTGAGTTAATGGACAAGCATTTTTAAACACCTACTATGTGTAAACCATTTTATTAGGCATTTGGAAATACTAACAGAAAAATAAAACAGTTCCTGCACTCAAGAATTTTACACTATCTTGCAGGAAATTACATACATACCTAAAATTGTAGCAGGAGATGAGAGCCAATATTGTCTACATGTTACCTATATGATCATGCCTCCTTTTACCTTCTATTCATCCATTTTCCTTATTCATTCTCCTGCAAGGTTCTAAGGCAATCAAAGGATGTGTTTTGGTATTTTATCTTAACTAAAATTGCAACATCTCCCTCATTACCACTAGCCTGTTTATTAATATTTATTAAATACACTAGAGAAATCTTTTTTTTTCCGTAACTTTTTGCTCATCTCAGTACTGAGCTCCCTAATCTTTTAGGCTTAACTAAGCATAATTTTATTATGGAAAAATTATTAAGAATGAAAGAAATAATAATAAAGCACATAAATAATTATTTACAATATATGAACTCTGAGAAAGATCATAGGCATAGTCACTTCTAACCATCTCTGCTATGTCGGACTTCTCATTATTTCTAGAAACACAAGACCATAGTTCAATTCTCTCAGAATACCAATTAAAATTTCTTATCAGGAATTCTTTTTTTTGTTTCCTCAAAAGATAAGTTAAAATATTTCTCAAATGAGAGAAGTACTGCCTTAAACACAAGATAGAAAAGGTAGTGATAAATAGAAACTTCACTGAATGGAAATTGAGAGCAGCATTGGGGCTATTTGAAACCAATTTTGGATTTTGCTGTCCTCCCTCTTCTATCCCAGTTAACTGATGATTTCTGTGGATCTGAGTGAATACATGTTGGAGGAACATAAAAAGACAGTGTTAGTAATGGTTGAGTTTGATAGATGGTAGAAATCAGAGGTGAGAAGGAGGAAAAAAATGTAAGAGCCATAGAGAGTAGAACAGTGGTACTTGTGAGCTGAAGAAAAGTTCTGGAAGGCTTACCCCTCATTTTGAATGGAAGAGATTGCACACAAAGAAAATTCTACAAGTTTTTTCAGACACTGCATGAGGAGATTCTTGAGATGAGTGGTATTGCTAATGACCTGAAAAGGATTGGTTGGAGTAGATTTGGAAATAGGGGAGAAATACACAGATAGATAGAAAGACAAACAAAGAGACATCTGAGAGATAGCGAGAAAGATTAAGAGGCAGGAAGAGTAAAAAGAGAGAGAGCAAGAGAGAAGAAAAGAGAAGAGAAGGGAAGAGAGAGAGAGAGAAAGAGAGAGAGAGACAGAGAGAAAGAGAGACAGAGATAGAGCTGATGTCACCCCTGTGTGTGAAGAGCACACAGAGGAGACTTCATATTGAGGATTGTAAATTACTAGGAATTTGCATTTTACATAGATTGGACTGACCAATTAATTGAGGTATGAATTCAATAGGTTCTCTTTTACATTCCTTATTCTTTTAATAAAATTCAACCATAATATTGTCAATTCCATATATAATTAGTAATTGCACCTTGCTGCTTTGTTTTCCTACACTGTGGAGACTTGGACACAAAAGTTACATATTTCTATTTTTAATAAAAATTTGAAATTGTAAAGCACTAAATGAAATAGTCAATTTGGTATGTGACACTGAAGTCTTTAGGGCACAAAAATGCTAAGGCCAAAGAGATAAAATCCTGGAAAATTTCATAAGAACAGATAGTTGAATGACTGCAAATGCGAATAAAATATTAAAGGGGAAAGAATCCAAACTCCTCTTATAGGACAAAGGCCTATAAGGCATCAGTTGTGACATAGAAAAGGGATCTCAGAAATTTTATATCATGTCTGTGAGCTTTCTAACTTAAGCCTCTCTGAACCTGTAATATCTCATATGAAAAATGAAGATAATTTTTCCCTCATACTTTTACTGTGAGGAAAATAGTGTATACAATTTAAAGAACTGAACAAATATGATAAATGTATGTACTAATAAAACATCATAATCATGATTCCCCGAATACATCAAGATTCCTTTCCAACCCTTACTTTTCAGCTGAGGAAACTTTGGATCAGAAAGTTAATATCACTTATCCAAGATCATACAACAGCAAGGAGTAGAATCAAGTGTCAAAACCAAATCTTCTGAGAATTGTGACTCTATGTCCTTCATTCTTTTGAATATAACACTCTCATAAGACTAGAGAACACAGTCAGATATTCCGACTGTACATGCAATGTTTTTACCAGGGCACCATTGCTACCTCTCTAGACAGCAGGAAATTAGAATATTTTAATTTTATATCAGAGAGGATACCTAAGCATATTCATGCAGGTAATTGGTAGAGAAAGAATCTTGGGTGGGAAGGATCATGGACCTAATAATATGTAGAAATTCTCCTATTTTTATTTCCTAATATCTATCTTATTCCTTTGCCAGAAAAAAACAATACTTTTTCCTCTCCTGGGATTCTTTTCCTTCCTTAAGCTGGATATTAGAAGAATGTTGTGAGGAAAATCTTACCTGAAAATTAGGTCTTTAAACTCTTCAACAAGGCAACTGAGCATAGCAGTTAAGCTCAGATTAGAGGAACAGACTAGGACAAATGCTGCTCATATTGTAACACTGCCAAAAGCCAAATGAAATGCTGATCTGAGTTTGTAAAACCCCCAAATACATGGTTGAATCTACAAGATTCAGTGCTCTATGGGAGTGGAATGCAATTCCATGTCTCTACTTACATATAAATAAACATGGGTTATGCCAATATGTAATTCCAGAAGTCTAGAATAAAGAATATGACAGATGAGGAGAAATGAAGGCAGCTTTGGGTCAAGGAGAAGGGCTTAAGAATCAGAGTGGAAAAAAAACTCTAATAGGTATCAGTTTCAATGCTCAATGAAATTACAGTACCTGATACTATGTTCTATATTAGGTGCCAGTTTCTTAAGATTTCAGCAAAAAAGCCCTCAAAAATCATATTAGATTAAAAGATATAATACAGCCAATATAGTTATGGATGGAATGAAATTCTAACTGTATGTAAATTTTCTTCAAAGGAAGTGGTTCTCCTCTCTGATTTTGCTTCTATTTTGTCCACTAGTTCATCCTTACCAATTGTAGGCACAATCCAGGGTTTTTTTTTCCTTGCATTTCTTCTTTTTTCTTCTCTGTGTTCTATTCTTTCACAATCTCATCCACTACCATGGCATTAACTCAATGTGTATGAACTTCAAATCTATATCACCATCCATTGCCTCTCTCCTTCATTTCAACCTCCCTATTGGGAAACTCTATCTGGGGACTTCACCAACACTTCAAACTCATGTCCAAAGCCAAAATTAATTTCCCTCAAGGTGACCTCCAGCCAAATTTTCATCTCAATTATTAGCACCATCAATTTCTCAGCCACACAGTCTGGAGTCCTTTTAAATTTCTGTCTCTCATTTAACTCCCTCAAATTACTCACCAAGGCTAACTGATTCTGCCTCCACAATTTCCCTTGATTCTATCTGCTATTTTCATCATGAAGTAATCATCCTAATTCAGGCCCTCATCCATTATCCCTCTTCTACATTTTTAGCAACAAACATATATGACTAGTTTAACTGCCTTCATCCCTTCCTACTTATTCTCCACCAAGTAGCCCAAACCCTGCACATTGTTGATTCAATAATACTAATGCACAGCTTTAATTATGTCACGTCATTCATTGCTCAAGTGCTGTCCACAGCTCCTTTGAATAGACCAAAGCCCATACTTTGTAACCAGAAATTTAAAAGTCACAGAGAAGGAAGAGCCTTAGAAATTATTGCCCACCTAAATATCCTTGTCTCACAAGTGTCTCATCCCCTTTACTATATGCTAATGTGGGAAGAGCAACAGTCTTAAATTTCCGTTCAATCAAATTTCTGTTCAATCAAATAGAAATCAAAAGATTTCTGTTCAAGTCCTATGTCTAACACATGATCTTAGGCAAATCATTTCATTAATCTTCATCTCAGTTTTTTTTCATTAGTAAAAATAAGAATAATATTTTTAATGTCCATTTTACAGGGTAATTATCCAGAAAGTGATTTGTAAATTCTAAATTTCCTTATAAATAATGCCTAATTAATAATAAATTAATATGATTTAAACTTCCCTGAGGTCAGCAACTCTGTTTTATTTGTTTCGTATTCTCCATAGCCCTTAGCACAGTGCCTTTCCCATAGCAGTTGTTCACTAAACATTTGATGAAGAATAAAGGAAGAAGGGATGGAGGGAGGGAAGCAGGGAATGAATGACTATATCTACATTCTTTTTCCAATATGGAAAAGTTGAGTTTTCCCAGTCCTTTGTTATTGACCTACTAGATGTGAACTCTGCTTCAGGAGGTACATTATAAAGGCTAAAAATAGGTAAAAAGGGATGGTTGCTTCTTTGCAATGAAGAGTTCTCCTTAGAAAAAATCCACTAGAAGAATAATGGAAGCAGTCCCCACACTACCACAGCTTATACTGGCTTTATCTCATAGGGGATGAGGATTGCCCTTGGTGCTCAGGAGAACAAAAGGCAAAACAACTTAGATTTAAGTGTTTACACATTTGATCTACATTGGATTATTGATATCTCCATGTGTATATTGTATTTAGAATATGAATGTTCCATTAAGAAAAATCAGTTTTTATGAATAATTGTCTCCGCATAGTTTGTACATGAAGAATTCAGCAACTCTTTTCTTTTTCTTTATAATTTATTTTGTTTTTAATTCATGGAATAAAACAAGCATTTCAATAACAGTATAATAAAAAAGATGATTGTACATGAAAGTGGAAATCTATTATATACAACTTGCTATTCCTTTTAAATATACAATAAAGTTATGTAAATTTATTTTTTCCCTTTTTGTCTTCCCTCCCCCCTTGCCTTAGAGATGGCTATTATTAGACACAAATACACACAGATATGTAAAATTACTCTTTACATATT